AATAGCAAAATTTAACAGAACAGCAAGCAACAAATGCTGGCGAGGTTGTGGAGAAACTGGAACCCTGATTCACTGTTGGTGGGAGTGTAAAATGAAACTAGGTTTTTTATTCTTCCATTCTTTCACTTTTTCAAAAAGCTTTTGCACATTTTTACGGATATATACCGTCTTAGAAGTCTCCTTTTCCAATTTAATTTAAGAAAATACTAACTGAATGCCAACAGTTACGTTTTGATTTTGAAATTATTTTGTACCATTGAAGGAGTGAGGTACACAATTTTTATATCTTAGTAAGTTTGATTTAATTGTACTTCATAATAAACCATGCCAGAGAATAAAATTTGAAATTAAAGTTAAAAAAAAAAGGAATGCTTCACAAATTTGTGTGTCATCCTAGCGCAGGGGCCATGCTAATCTTTGTATCTTTCCAGCTTTAATGTATAAGTGCAGCCAAAGTGAGCACAAGTGATACATATTTTCTTTTTATAGTGAAAATATACTTTTTTAATAAAAATACAATTGTTAGGCAGCTCTGGTGCCCTAGTGGCAAGAAGCTGCACTGCAATCCCAGAGGTATGCGGTTCGAATCCACTAGATGCTCTGCTGGAGAAGGAGGGACAATCTCCTCCTGTACCAGTCAGATCTGATTTAATGGTACACACACAAAAAATAAATAATAATAAAAAAACCCAAAACAATAGTTGCTATTAATATACCAGTGCACGGTGTTCCAGAGAAAGAAAACACAGGCATTTTACAAAAGTTTTCATTTGCCTTTTCAAGTAATTATAAAGAAAAATGTTCCAAGTCTGTTCAACATTACTGCTTAAGGTGTTGAAAAAGTTTTTTCTCATGATAAAAATACAATTTTAGTGGTTCTAAACTTGACAATACTACAGGGTGGAAGGTGATACATTTTTAAAAGCAACTTTTAAGATGTATATACCATGGAGTCAGAACTGACTGACCCATAGCTGACCCTCCAGAGGGTTTTCAGAGGAGGTAAACCACATGGGAGGAGGCTGCCTACTGTCTCCTGGGGACTGGCTGGTGGATTTGAACTGTCAGTCTTTGGGTTAGAGGTGCAACTCCTTACCACTAAACTACCAGAGCTCTCTTAAAACCAACTAGAAGAGGAAAAAGATCAGAAGACTCAATTGTATCAGTTAGGGTTTCTGCAGATACAGGAACACAGCCCCAGACTTTTAATTTTAAACAACGGGACAGTCTTGTAGTCCTGTTGAAAACACTCCTCAATTGAGAAGTTTTACATTTCCAGAAGATTATACAGAGAGAAAGTTTTCAGAAATGCAGCATAAGTGAATTCTTCCAAGTGGTGAAAAAACCCCACTAGATCTTGGTTACTTTATTCTACCTCAAAAGATTTTTACTGTGCTGCAGACTCTTTGAAGAAAGCTAAAAAATCATCTGAAGAATAAGAACGGATGCACAGACTGGCATCCTGTATCACGTATTCTTAGTAAATGTGAAGAAAGTGAAGTACATGTAAATAATAACATTAAGTATTCAAAATGGAAAACGGATTTTAGGGGAAAAAAGCTGTGGAAACTAAAAAACAGAGACCATGTAAAGATGAGAAAAATGGTGATGCATGACTGTTATACACATGATATACCTGATATGGCTTTTGACAAATTTAAGCCATATTTTGCTCAAAAAAAGCACTAAATATACTTTTATTTGAACAAATCAATGCCCAGTTACACTGAGCTGGTTCATTTGTATTTTATTGACATTTATAATAATTTTGTTTTCAGTTAATTTAGAAATGTTTCATGTTTACTGTGTCAGAACTATAAACATAAAGAGCATGTATTTTAACAAATATAAGAAATGTTCAAACAAAAATATATTACATTTCTAAAATGGATTTTTTTCTTTTTTAAATCTGAAGAACATTTATCCAAGCGTGTCATTCTTTCTGAAGACAGGAAACACTAATGTGTTCCATTAATTCCTACTTTTCTAATTGTGCTAGAGGATGGGCAATCTCCTCCCCTGCGATTTACTGCCTCTGAAAACCCACTGGTGGGTCAGCAAGGAGTCAGTTCCAACTTGACAGCACGTAAGCACACCCTCACCACCACCCCCATCTCCACTCCCCCCACCCCCTCACCATCACCCTCACCACCACCCTCACCACCACCACCACCAGCACTCTAGTCTCATTCTCCTGAGGATAAACAGGAGAGCAAGCTTAACTCCTGGAAAATCACTGGGTGAAACAACTCTACCTGTACCACCAGTCAAACGCCTAGGATGAAGAAGGCGTGTGCACTCAAGATGGGATTCACATGGGCCTGTTGCAGTCCGGCCACCAGCACCTCCTCTGGGTTCAGATCAGTCATTTATTTGCCTGTTCCAACTGTTCAGAAATCTAATTTTGCATGTGAGTATGTATGTTCAAAAGGAATGATTAATTCATGAAAAGTAAGAATTAGCTCATGAACTAATCTAAATATTGTATCTAAAGACTGCTCGTAACAGCCTCCCCAAATCCATTTAGAATGTGGTTCAATAACACCGAGTACATGGCTTTCTACGAAGATGGCGCCGAAAGCAAAGAAGGAAGCCCCGGCCCCTCCCAAAACCGAAGCCAAAGCAAAGGCATTAAAGGCCAAGAAGGCAGTCCTGAAGGGCGTCCACAGCCAAAAAAAAAGAAGATCCGCACGTCATCCACGTTCCGGCGGCCTAAGACGCTGAGACTCCGACAGCAGCCCAAATACCCCCGGAAGAGCGCTCCCAGGAGAAACAAGCTTGACCACTATGCCATCATCAAATTTCCCCTGACCACTGAGTCAGCTATGAAGAAGATAGAAGATAACAACACACTTGTGTTCATTGTGGATGTCAAGGCCAATAAGCACCAAATTAAACAAGCTGTAAAGAAGCTCTATGACATTGATGTGGCTAAGGTCAACACTTTGATTAGGCCTGGTGGAGAGAAGAAGGCCTATGTTCGACTTGCTCCTGATTATGATGCTTTGGACGTTGCCAACAAAATTGGGATCATCTAAACTGAGTCCAGCGGGCTAATTCTAAATGAAATAAATTTTTCTCACCATAAAAAAAAAAAAATAACACCGAGTACATGGATAAGCAACGTAAATGTAACTGTGAGTCTGTGAGTCTATATGCATATGAGTCGCCACAAGGAACATGTTACAGGGACTGTGGAAAAGGGAGAAAGAGAAAAGAAAGGATGGTGCTCTTATTTGTCATTAGAGAAATGGCTCAGTCTTGCTTCCAAAACCGAGGGAACACCAAGACCAGGATGAGCAGAGCAGCTGGGAATTGGGGGTGAAGCAGGGCTCCTTCAACCCGGCCCCTCCTCAAGCTTCTCCTGGGTGACAGGATCACGAAAGGAACCCATCCCTTTGGGTGTCTGAGGGAAGAAACAGCCTGATAAAAGGCTGATAATGTCAACAGATATTAGCTACTACTAAGACCTACTATTACTATTAAGAAGCTACTATCACAGCCCTAGTGGTACGGTCTGTAGGGAGCGGGGCTGCGAACCCAAAGGCCTGTCGGTTTGAATCTTCTTGAGAGAATGGTGGACAATCTCATCCTGTGCAACTTGCAGTCTGAAAAACCCGCTGCAAGGTCGGCCATGAGCAGGCTCCAGTCCCAAGACAATGAACTGGTTTTGGTTTTGTATTGAGATACATATTACAATATTCCTCTTAAGAGACCAAAATACAATGAAGAGTTGCAACCTGCAGACTGTTAAGGCCGAGACAATGAGGTTTTGGAGCTGGGTTACCAACACTGGAAAGAAATCTATGGAAGAACAAGGTGACTTTTGCTTTTGTATTTCAAAGCAAAGTCTTTTGTTTTTGTCTTTGAATCAGCACCCCTTTGACCACTGTCCCTCAGTGTCCCCAGTGTGTGGCAGAGCCAGGAACAGAAGCTACATTTACATTTCAGCCTAGTTAGAGGGAAACACAAGTCTGAACACATTTGAAAAAGTAAACACCAGAGCAAAGTCTATCAAAGGTAGACCAGAGAAGAGAAAACCCTTACTAATGTACTCTAGTCAACTCTGCCTCAGAGGAAGAGAAACCAGGGCGCTACTTAGCGACAAGAATGGTGAATCTTTGTCTCACATACTTGGGGCATGTTACCAGGAGGCGCCAGTCCTTGGAAAAAAGACACCTTGCTGGGAAAGGTGGAGGGGTCAGAGAAAGAGGTGAAAACCCTCAACAAGACAGACTGGCACTGCGACTGTAACAACAAGCTCACACGAATCATGGATGATGAACATGGTGCACGACAGGACAGAGTTCACATCTGCTGTCACTGAACCACTGTCAACTCAAAGGCACGTAACAATACAATTTACTGCAAGTTACCAACTAACAAGGCACAAAAGAAACCCAGAAAATGAAAATAACCTGATTTTTGTGTGGCACAGTGTACACCGCCTCACTGATCATCCTCACTGCTTTGTGAGCCCTGGCATTCCCCGGCTCCTCGGAGCTGGAAGACAGGTGCGTGTCGATGTCCTCTTCCTCCTCGCAGCCCAACGATGCAAAGGACGGTAAAGAAGTTCCTCTTCCCATCTCATTCTGCCAAGTTGGTCTATATAAAAACAGCAAAGGGCAACCAAACCACTTCACACCGCAATATGTGTATCCATGAAATGCGTTCTCCCTATCCCCATCACAAGAGCATTTTAATGATGAAAAATACAGACCAAATAATCCCACTACACTATCTTTGCAAACCCTAGGCATTACTTTCTATTGTTCCTTTAAATTTTTCTAGCTCTTACCAATGTATAATATACAAATTGACTTGTTCTTACCAAATTTTCATTATCAACATTTTTTTAGGTTAGGAATCAAGTACATACAGAAATTTTAGTTTAAAAAGTCAAAGTCATCGCTATCTAGTCAGAGCTGACTCATAGCTGACCCTCCAGTGGGTTTTCAGAGGCTGCAAATCACAGGGGAGGAGAATGCCCATCTTTCCCTTGTGGAGCAGCTGGTGGATTTGAACTGTGTGCCTTTGAACTGGCAGTGCCACTCCTTACCACTAAGCCATCAGAGCTTCCTTCTAGTTGAGTATGAGTCATAATTATCCTGCTGTGATTGTCTGTTCATACTTTTAGTCACTATCTCCTTTGATTCTAGTATACTCATTCCAATTTGAAATGACCTTTTAATTTATGAAAATTAAGACCCTGTCTTTGCACTTACTGAACTTTCCTCAGATGCTCACATATCAAGCTTCCTTTCTCTTTCTGGAAAGCTCTTTCCAGGCTCAAGCAGATCATTTCCTCACCTCCAACCTTTAACTACTTCCTAGTTGATTCTGGTACAACACTAAGTTCTTCCCTAAATCCTCCTTCCTCAAAAGGAGTCTAAACTCAGCTCAAGGAATAGAGGTAAAAATCTTAAAGAAGAAAAAATTTGTTATGCTACAAGTATCAAAGCTACGTTGGCCTAGTGGACAGAAAGTTATGCTACCAAGCCGATGGTGGGTGATTTTAATCTGCGGCCCTCAGGCCAGGTTCAAATTGTTTTCCTGTCAAACATTCTTCTAGGTGGTATAGCACTGGTCTGTGCATTGCTGTACAGAGGTAACTCGTCGTTGCTGTGATGCTGAACACTGGGACACTGATGTGCCAAACATGGTAATGGTTACCCATGATGGACAGTGTTGGCTGGAGCTTCCCAACTAAAACAAGCCTGGAAGCGGGAGCGGCATCCACTTCCGAAATGGCTTGCCTCCGGAAACTCTGTGTATGAACAGTGCTCAGGCCTTTGGTTCACAGGGTCGCTATGAGTCGTCTATAACTCGACGGCACCTAACAACAACACCTAACAAAGTAATCACTACAAATGCTTAGAAAACAAATACAAGAGAAATGGTGAAATACAATTTTCACTGTCTCATTAATGGCACTGAGATTCTTATAAAGGGCTAAAAGCAACACTATTAATTAGCTCTGTGCTACATGAAAATGATGAATACTTTAAAAAAAAAAAAATATTTAGATCAATGCTTTCATAGGTCTTCATTTAACAAAATCCAATTGGTGAGTGGAGTGTGATGCACTCGAAGAGTTGTTACTATCCCAGGACAGGGTCTCTTTGATACTTGTGATGCAACCTCAAGAACTAAGAAGAAAATCATAAATGCTCAGTTGCGCATATACACACACACACACACACACACACACACACACACACTCTCACACACCTTGCTGGCTGCCCCTCCTCCTCTCTACAAACAAACAGGGACGGTCCTTACCGAAGCCTCAGCTCTGAGGTGGTGGCATAGGGCTCGATGAAGCTGTCCTTCCCGTCATATGTCGTGTCACTCTCAGACCGAGACCTTTGGCGAGGTTGAGGAATGGCCACAGTCCGTCCAGTCAAAGTCGTTGCCAGGATGGCTGCGGCCAGAGCAGATCTGCAGACAAAAACATGTCAGTGAGGCGGTGAGATGTGATACAAACATTCCAAGTGAAACCAAACTGTCAGCACAAGAATGAATCAAGGCTCACCTTCTACTATGTACCATTGAGTCTCGACTGACTCATAGCTGACCCTCCAGCAGGCTTGCAGATGCTGAAATTGCAAGGAGATTTTCCCCCTTTCTCTCCTGGTGGAACTGCTGGGGGATTCAAACTGTCTTTGAGTTGGCTTGTAACTTTCTATGACTGGTTACTAAATGTCTACTCACTAAATGATATTTAATATCATAGATAATCCTATTTGTCTTTCACATCCACTGTATAACTGGAGTTTCCGTCATCCACACTTTTCATGGATATCCAGTGATTTGTCTGACATTTCCTAGCTTGTAGGAGGTGAAGCAGGCCTCCAACTTAGGCAGTTTGGTCCCAAATATGTCTTTTTAATTGAAATGAAAGATGAAAATTAATAAAACATGTATGGGAACTCAAGGGTGAGGGGAAAACTGAGGACAGGTAGGGGCAAAACCAGAGGGTTGCTGTTTGGTGGGAGGGGGGAGGGAGGGAGTGACGGAAACGGGAAGGATCCAGGTGAAAATACAGGGTAATGATGGGCAAGGTCCAATGGTTAATTTCATAAAGCATAATGCATGAGAATGATTGTATGAAACACAATGTGAAGGAAGAACAGTGTGAAACACAATGTATATGAACTTAAAACAAACCAATTAAAAAAACAGTTAAAAAAACTCCCACTCATCCAAACTGGTTTTTGAAGGGAGCTATAAAGCTGTGCCCTTTGAAAATGCATGCAAATTCTTAAGTAAGATATAAACAAGATGAGGTGACTGATTTACCAAAGGTAGAAAAAATAAAGACAAAAAAACCCCCAAAAATCAAATCCAAAAAGGCACTAGACAGCAGACAATGAAGGACTGTAAATGGCCGGGAACAAATGAGGTGAGCCCTGCAGTTGCCCCAGATTTACTGCCTGAAAGCCGAGGAGACCAAAGCAGCTGGAGACTGCAGAGCAGAGTGCTAAGAGGGCTGAGTTACACAAGAGAACGGGGTCCGCAGGCCTTCCCCTGAGTGTTTCCAAAGCACTCCTTAATGTGAGTGTGAGAAAACTACCCAAGGCAGAGAGAACAGTCATCCGAAAAAATTACAGAACATAGTGCCAGCCACTCACACACGGCCAGGAAAAGCACCCGTGTCTACCACACACACTGGAAGAACTCAAGTACATGGACACTGCACAGGGCATTAAGAAATAAGCGAGGGTTCTCACCAAAGGATGCTGCTCTGGGATCTGCCTAGAATCAAAGAGTTTTCAAGTAGCCTAACTGCATTCCCAAACCAAGTTCAGGAAGAGTTACAGGACTACAAAGGCTACTCCCTCTACAAAGTGAAATCTACTAAGAGAACAAACAGATTCGTCCTGGAGAGGGTGAATCCAGGCTGATCCTTGGAGGCAAGGATTCTGAAGCTCTATCTGACAAACTCTGGGCATGTTGCAAGGAGGGATTAGTCCTTGGAAAGGGCTATCGTGCTTGGAAATGTGAAGGGACAGTGCAGGAGAGGAAAACCCTGGATGAGATGGATTGATTCAGTGACTGGGGTAATGAGGGTAGGTGTGTCAAAGACAATATGGTTGGCACAGGAAAGAGCAGAGTTTAGGGCTATTGTACATAGGGTTGCTATGAATCACAAGCAACTCAACAGCACATAACAACAACAATATACCTAATCAAGGATTACCAGGCATGCAGAGACAGAAAACCATGACCCATAATGAAGAGAATAATCAATCAACTGAAATGTACCCAGAATGGAACACAATTGCTAAAATTAGTGAATGACACACCCACACTATCAGAAGATATTTCCATATACGTATCTGTATATGCTATGAAGAGATCCATATACACAGCAGGAAAAACGGGGTAAATTACGAAAACTTTTTAGCCATAACTTAACACCTTAACAGAACGAGTTGCTGGAGCTGGGAGGCCAGGATCATAGTTTTGGGAGACATTCAGGTCAACTGGCATGGCAAAATCTACAAGGACTACATCCCACTCTGTAAGTAATAACTGGGGTCTTAAAAGCTTGCATGCAGCTATCTAAGATTCAATTATTAGTTTTTTTCCATCTGGAGCAAAGAAGAGTAAAGAAAACCAATGGAGCTTATTTTCCAAGAAAGCTCAAAGTTGGGGAGATTATAGGGCTCTTGAACTCAGAGAAATCCTGATGGGGAATGTCACAGAGTTTGGATGGTGTTTTGTTTGAGCTTCTGGGCCTGAGAGTAGCAGAGGCGTTGTGCTGTAGGTGGAGAGCCCAGTGCTTCTGGACCATCCTGTGAACAGGCTCACTCTGGGACAGGAGCTTTTAACTACTTTACTTGGTTTTTGTTCGTCCAGATGACTTTTGACCAGCTGACTCTGTGAACCTGGTTTCAAAGCTTGAAATTCCATAAACTTGGAAACTTCTAAGACAGTGTTTGTGCAAATCCAGAACCTCGACTCCTGCTCTGCTCACGCGCCCCTCATTGCTCTTCAGATGGAACTTGTGTCATCGCTGACCCTCCAGCCTTCATGTTGGCAGCGCAGCATCTGACCCATCAGGCTTACACTGTTGTGTCGTTTACTGTCATGCTGGAACTGACACACAGCTGACCCTCCAGCGGGTGTGCAGAGGTAATTCATCACATGGAAGGAGATTGCCTTTCCTTCTCCTGCAGAGCAGCTGGTGGGTTCGAACTCCCTGACTTTGGGACTGTAGCACAACTTCTGGTAACTCAGCAGAAGAGATGCTATTTCTTGCAAGATCAAAGTGAAAAAAGACAAAACAAACAACGTAACCGACAAAACAAAGTCAGATCCGAAAGAGTTCTACACAAAGAGATAGAGCTTGAAATTCCAGAGTGACGGGCCCTGCCTGCTCTGCTCGGTACTGAAGACTGGTGGTTAAGTCGGTGGAGGTCACGGCAAGTAATGGACCTTTGATCTCACAGTTTCTAACAAATGTCAAAGAGCAAATAGGAGCCTCTGTTTAACAGTAAAGACTTTTATTGAAAGAATAGAGCAATTGTGATTGGGTAGTGTGTGGTGAGGATTCACAAAAGTACTCCGGTGAGAGTGATTTTTTCATAGGGCTTAAAGGACAGCAAATTCTGACACTTTGAAAGGAAAAAAAATTCAACTATTGGTCTCTGCTAAGAGAACAAACAGGTTCGTCCTGGATAGGGTGAATCTAGGCTGATCCTTGGAGGCAAGGATTCTGATGTTCTGTCTGATGTACTTTGGGCATGGGACATACTCTGTGGGAGAAGGATGGGCAATCTCCTTCTGTGCAGTTAACTGCCACTTAAAACCTGCTTGGGGGGGTCAACTGTGTGTCAGTTCTGTCTCTTTGGTATACAACAACAACATTAGTTCAAAGACTAAATGACTGTATGACTTTCATGTTCTATAACTCTGAGGCCAGAAGAACTAGATGGTGCCCAGCTCCACTTTTGATTATTCCAAAAGGATCACAATAGAAGGTCCTTGATACAGTGGGGGAAAACTGTGGGATATAACTCAAATCTTAAAAAAGACCAGGTTTCCAGGTCTGTTAGAGTCTGGTGAGATGCCCTGGACTTAGTCACCCATAAAGCCTAGAACTAAAATCAATTCTGCGACTCAACTTTCAGCAAAAATTTCAGTAAGGAAATCAGTAACAGCAGAGAGGGACACACTCCTTAGACCAAGCAATCATACAAGACCAAAATGGCAGGGAAAAAGCTCAGAAGCCTGGAGAGGGTAAGAAAGAAGGACAGGCAGAGACAAGAAACACAGGACAGAAGTGGGGGAAAAGGTTGTTACAACATTGAGACTGTAATTAGTGTCACAAAACATAATATGCATTAACTCTTATTGTTGAGTGAATATTCAAATTTCTCTGTAAACTTTCACTTAAATCACAATTTTAGAAGATTTTTAAAAAACCATAAAACTAGGGTAGGGAAGAAAAGTAGTTATTATAACTGCATTTCATAAAGTCTAGTAGAAAGAGAAAATTCTTTAAAAGATCAACATCAAATATTAGAAGATGAAAATTGCAATGTCAGAGTCAAAAAAATGTTTGATTGGATGAACAGCAAATTACTCATTACAGAAATACCAAACAGTGAATTTGGTGGCAAAACAACACAAAGGGGGAAACAACTGAAAGAGACATGAGTGAGATGACAGACAGTTCCAGAGGTTTAACATGGATAATCGAAGACCTTAAGGAAAGGAAGAAGTAGAAAACAGAATGGCATATGATAACCAAAGTCTCAAGAACCGAGGATAAGGAGAAGACTTAAATAGCAAAATGAAAAAAGCAAAGTCCCACAGATAATCTTCAACAAGATTAAATACCAGTACCAATGAGGGAGTTTTTCTTTTGCTTTTCAAGGAGAGGAGCAAATGGGGGGGGGGGGGTGGGTGGGTTTGTGCGGGGGAAGGGTGCAACAATGAATGAATGGAATTCCAAAATCTCTGTAGATGTTCATTGAAATGAAAAATAAACAAACTAAATTTAAAAAAAAGATTAAATACCAGTATCTCTTCAGAAACCAGACAGTTTAAAAAGAACAATGGATAGCATATTTTAAATGCTGAAAGTAAAAATAAAACAAAAATTATCAAGCAGAAATTTTATACACACCAAAATTTCAAGATATATCAGGTTACTATAGAGTAGGATTTTAAAGGTAATTCTCATGTAGTCACAAATAAGTAAATTTTTAAAAATCATGAAGAGAAACAAAATGTCTCAATGTATACAAAAATTTAAAAGTAATACAAAGAAAATATCTATATTATAAACAATTCAGCATTAGAATAAAAAGATTAAAATCATAAACTTTGTTTAAAGTCACAATAAAAATTAAAATAAAAAATAGGTCTTATCCCCATGAAAAAGAAAGAAAGAAGCCATAAAATCTCTCACACACAAAATGTAAAAG